CGCCAATCAGATCGAGCCAGCAAGATCCGGCCAGACATGTGATACGCATGACAAGTATCGTCTACCGAGACTTATACTGTCTAGAATAGCACAAATTGCAAAGTGGACAACTTTTGACCTGATGGAACGGTGTGAAAGAGAGCACGAAGAAGTTGAAAGTCGTTGTTGATCCCATCATGAATGCCTCCAGAAATCTGCCTGACTATCCAATTCTTGTAGCAAAAACAGACTCTGCGATGTTGACTCAAAACCCACAGAACAAGTGCATAGATACATTTGTAACGCACTACTCGTAAGGTCGCTGAAAAACCATCGACAGCCCACTACCAGTTTCGCCCTTTTTGGGACTCATCAGGTAGGCGAATTTCCCGGGTTTCCGCCAACCGTATGTTCCACTTGAAACCAAATTGCACAAAATTAGCGACTATACACTCATTTGCAGACCAATTTAGTTTTTCGAGAGACCCACCTGGAACTCAGCTGAATCTCTCGTTTGTGATGTTTCCAAAAAGGGCGAAACCGGTCGTGGGCTGTCGATGGGTTTTCAGCAACCTTATGAGTAGTGCATTACAAATATACATATATCGCGATGTCTCGAATATCGTAGCGACTGAAAAATGAGGCGGCCTGGTGCAGCACATTCAGTTGCCTGGGTACATCACACAAGAGATTCAGCTGGGTTCCAGATGAATCTTTCGCTAAAACCAAATAAGTTTGCAAATGAGTGTATATTAGCTAAGTGCATAGCTAACTGTAATCGAAGATCGTTTTTTTTCACTAACCTACAACCGTGAAGGTGAATATTTTTTCCCGAAGTTGGACACTGCCTTTTATCTGGCCTAGTTATCTGGCTCAGTAACATTCAGAATGCGAAACAGACTTTTCAATCCCACGTGGAGGGCGTTAATTTTTGCATTAGGAGTGTCACATATGGACAAAAAAATGCTGCTAGCCCTCACTTCTGTTTGGCTTACGTGGTAACACGTGTGGCGGTCAGGTGGACAGCTAAATGGCAACGCGTGGGCCAGGCTGACTACGGACGAGATCGAACAGTCCCTTCCGTCAGTCTACGTGCTGAGTGGTAAAAAAACACGTTTGAAAAGTTCTTCGGCATTGCAGGAAGAGGAAAATAAACAAATATGTTGCACAGCAATTTCGGTTTAACGGAATTCCAGATGAAACCCTAATTCAAGAATTCTTTCAATCGAAATTTTCGCACAAAACTGCCTTATAGTTTGTTCGGTATAATAAATCACATAAATTACAATAAATTACATTCTCTAGAATGAATACATTAACTACATATGAAAGATGCAGCTGATATTCGGTTGGACCTCACGATACAACCAACTTTGTTTCTTGTAAATGAGTGTACTTCGTGAATTGCCTCAGACTTTTCGGTTTATTTAGGACAAGGTTGAGAGAAACTCGGGGACTGCACCTACCTGATGGGCCCCAAGAAGGCTGATGTCGGTCTTAGGCAAACAAAGAATTTTCAGCAACCTTGTGAGTAGTGTTCAATCAATGAGGATATTATTTCATTGACGCGCGCACAAGTGGTCGTTTCTCTCCGTCGACCATGCACGCGACAACTACTAAATCAACCTATGTGCTCCACTTCGGGAGCATTTACTGAGGTATCCTCCCGGGGAACCCCATAAAATGCTTTCCTTTCGATTTTTTAAGCAATAATGACGTCGTGTGTAACGGGAAGGGATTTTTGAGGGGAAATGTCTTTGAAACCGTTGCACGCATCCATCAAAGATCAAAAATTTATTTTTAGTTTGTTTTATTATTATTGGAAGAACTTTGCGTGCATACACCCGACTTTGAGGCTTTGGCGTTTCTCTATAGAATTTGGCTGCAATCGAATCGTGTGGTACTCACCTAACCATTTTGTCAAGCCTCACACGAATGTCCTAATGCCTTGCACTTTGATGAGAAGAGGTCAGCACTCAAGGATTGAGCACAGTTTGTCATATTCCCCTCCCACAAACTCACTTATCAAACTTTGTGACAACACGTTGCTTGTCAGACCTTTGTTGCCGCACTGCATTGTCGCGTTCTCACGAACTTGATGGCGAATCTCCATAAAGCTTGAAAGCCGAGTAATGCGATATTTGAATGAGACAACCTCATCCATATAGACAGGCGAGTAGACAATCTTTTGTTGGCGTGCTTACTGATTAACCCAGCTTAGTTGGAGAATTTGTGGCAAGATTTTCATCAAGCCCAAGTGCTTCTTATATTCTTTTACTTACGTCATTAATTAGGATTTGCTCTGCAACAAGGCCGAAAAAGTGTATTTGAACACTTGTCAAAAATTAAAAAAAATAGGTACATTTTCACTGCATGGAGTGAGTATACTGAGAGAGTATTACGTAGTTACACCGGTTTCAACCTTTCCCAGATATTTTAACCGATGAATCGAGTAAGGTTAAAGTAGAACATTAGGTTGGCGGAAACTCGGGGACTGCGCCTACCTGATGAGCCCCAAGATGGGCGAAACTGGTCGTGGGCTGTCGAAGAGTTTTCAGCAACCTTGTGAGTAGTTTCCTTCATGAAAATATACTGCGATATTTCGAATATCGTGCCAACTGAATCATGAGGCGGCCTTTGCGCTGTACATTCAGTTGTAGAATCTCATAAACGAGAGATTCAGTTGCGCCTCTCGTAAAAACCAAATCGATTTGCAATGAGTGTATATCTCAAGAACAGTCCAATTCGGGTTCAAGTAGATCATAAGGTTGACGGAAACTCGGTGAATGCGCCTACCTGATGAGCCACAAGAAGGGCGAAACCGGTCGTGGGATGTCGAAGAGCTTTCGAAGAGTAATTTCCTCTATGAAAAGAAGGTATGATATTTGATATTTGCAGTATGAAGAATTTTTGGCCAGCCTGGTCTCAAACTTAGGATAACCAGATTAGATATGTAGATTTATTCGTGGATTTCCACAGTGAAAAATCTATATTTGAATGTGAATCCAGATTCAACAAAGCTGAGTAACTCTGAGTACTATACTCTGGTTTTACGAAGTACTTTTCGGAATTTCCGACAAGTGTAACAATCCTTTTTGTCGATAATTGAGACACATCTTTTACATGTCATTTTAGGCTTCAAGGTCGATCCATCATGTGGATGCTCCCTCCCCGGAAAAAAGAAACCCTCCAGTTTCGTGTACATACCGCCACCTGGAAGATCGTTTTGAGCAGACCAGGAATAAAATTTCCAGATCACACTCTAACTCTATTATGGCTTCGTTTTACCACGTGCCCGTATGAATCTCTATACTGTGCGCAAATGCTCATCCTTCTGAAGTAGAACGTCTGAGCTTCATACTCAGTTACAAATGCCAGTGAGTGCAACGTCATCAGATGATTAGCTTGATGTGCCTGTGAGGGCGTCAAATGGGATTAGTCAGCCAAAACACGTTTTTATGACGTATACGCCCACGCCCTTGCGCTACTTTGGTGTACCCAAAAGCACAGAAGGCATAAGTGTGTGGGCAGTTGGACGAAAGCAAGCACTGATTGTGTGATGCAGGTAACGCACAGTAGTAGGATGACCTACAAGTAACTGAAAATTCATAGAGTCGTAATTTGCGGGTCTTAACTGAAAGCGGTGACATGTCACAAAATCTCGAGCGTGTTTCATTGCATCCAATAGAGTCTGCCAAGGTTTGCCGGATGCTGCTCCGGAAGAACACAGTTTTCTTTAAGGCCATCGCTTTGGTTTCCATATGTCCCAGAAATAAACGACGGTTTGTGATAGATTCCAAGAATTTTTATAAACTGTTCATGGTTTGGGGAGGAACAGACCTCTGGAATTTTTAGGACGTTATCCCACCTTAAAAACTATACACGTTACTCACATGTACATATTGAACACAAGTTGACAAACATTATTGTATTTGCGATATCTTCTTCTGAGATAGACGCAACCGACGCATGCAACCAGATTTCGTATCCTCAGAATGCACGGATACGCGCATTCATTCTTCCATGGTGTGCTCACGTGACCACTGGTCACTCAGACTGATCGATCCAAAAGTAAACCGCTTCAATACTTAACCGCAGACTCCGCTTTAGAATTCTTCTAAATGTACGCATCACTCGTTTTTACTTTTACCATTTCTAGATCTATGTTGCTCGAAAGAAAACATGGAGAAAGCCCTAAACTTTGTCAAACTGCTTTCTGAATTCTACAATGACTCATGTATTGGATAGTACGGGGTACAAAGAGGCCATTCGCATAAATTTTAAACGATAGTTGTTTAAACGAACGGGAGAAATAAGATTTGAAATTGGACAGCGTTTTTGCTTGTGATAAGCATCTAGCACGATACTTTCCAATAAAGCTTGTACACTTCTGTTTTTGCGGGAGTTTAATGTAAAGGAAAGAGGTTGGGAAAATTACAGCCACTTTGAAAATAGTACGATAATCTCCCAAGAAGTCAATAAAAAAGTGGAAAACTGAAACCAAATAGGCTTCGAAGAATGTGTGGAACCCAACCAAATGCATATTACAAAAGATGAGCCTAAATTCGAGGCCTTTCGTGAACCTCGTTTACACTTCAGTAAACGAGGGGTTTTGACAGATTTGGAGACCGTTTTGACCGTTTTAAACAAAATATTCTGAACCATTAGACTTATACCAATACTCGGGGGGTCTGTCCTCATCGGATATCTCCATAGTAAACTGGATACCGAATCATCTGCTTCGACGCGATGCCGATGAATATAGTGAGCGACAGAAAAGGTAGATAGGTTGTCCGACATTACGGCCTATTACGGTGTGCCATCGATGACGGGCTTATGGTATCGGATTTGACTGATACGATCGCAAGTGCTCCTAGCATGCGAGACGTCCATCCAATGGACGGGCAGCTTGGATATTCGGTCAAGTCTTTGGCTTCAACAGTTTGGCGAGTGAGCTCAGACCCTCTAAGCGGACGAAAAAATGTAAGGTGCGGCACGGCAGCCCCCGTGAATGCGCGTGGATGATAGAAACTCGCATCAGCTGTCGGTCGAAAACCCGCGGAAGTCACTTGGAGCTCGTCTCGGACCGAGAAAAAAACACCTTGGAATGCACCAATTTGTTGGACGCATTCGGACTACCCATGAAAGATATTTTATGCACTGTGTTGCACTACAAGTGCAGTTCCTCACACTATTTTATGCAGGCGAGCCCAGAAGAAGGCATCCCTCTGTTCGATTATGGTTTTGGTGAACAACTGAGCAATTTTTCCCGATCAGAAAACATCTCTGGTTCGATGTTAGTAATACGTGTTTAGTCCGTAAATCACTGGATACATTTGTCCCCAGTTGTGCGGTTTTCGAATTTTCCACACCTAACGTCGGGCTGTTTACTTGTCTGACTTCCGTTTAACTAGTGACGAACAACATTCGATCATCAGCAATACACTTACAGGAGCAACCAACCGGGTCGTCTCTAGCATCCGTCGTTTAACGCCTTGTTCCCGCTGGTGCGATTGGGCCTGTGCTTTGTGCTTTCAACAGTCTACATTTTTCAGTTGGACACGAGTCTTTAAAACAGTTCGGTCCGTGCTCAGGCTAAACAGCCAGATCAGGTCACTCTGCTCGTGTGGAACACGGCCGAGTTACAGATGGTTTCAGTCCTAACACTTATAAACTATTGTGGTAGTTTGCATAATGCACATATAATAAAGGTCCTGTTTGTGCTGCTTTTTCTTACAGTTTCAGATAGTATGCTTGAAATACCTCTTTCTGTGCATCTGACAGTCGTGTACATACAACCTGTTTGTGCTCTTCACGCGCTTTTAGGAAATCAGTTTATTTTGGTCGCCTATCTCTGGATTCAGCAGCTAGGCCCAATCTGGTTCAACGGATCAGATGGGAGATTCAGTGTTAAATTTAAGGTATACTTTCTAGGTTACAGATCTAAATGTATGATGTTATTCGATGCGTCCACAGGACCTAAGTATATTGGGTCGATGATGTCAACTTTAACTGATATGTTCACCAACTCTGAGCGAGGCCACGAAAAAGCTGGGTGAACTCAACCAATGGTAATGAATACAAATATCTCATACATTTAAGATGCGTCGAGAAAAACGATTGGTCTGTAAAATTGTGCCCAAGAACTTTCAGTTGTTAAGCTCAGCGAAAATCAGTTATCGTATTGATGGAAGAATCATCATAAAGTAACTAATACATCCACTTTTCTTAGAGGTATGCTAGACACATGGTTAGCTCAAACTTGTGTGCCTGTGCGTGCGTATGATGAAATTAATGTGCTCTCTGTCTGGTTCCCAAACTCTATTGTATTTCTTATTATGTTAATCCCGCCTTTTGGACTGTATACTGATTGGTTCTAAGGCTGGGTAGTTCCACGTGACACACCTACTGGACCAACCACTTTTGCAAGGAACTTTCTTGAAAGGGGATTAGTCTTCATTGACTGTGGTTTATTGGAGGACAAGCAGCAATGTGATCCACAATCGGTTGTGTATATGATCTGGAGCATATTGTATTCCCAAAATAAATAATGAATCAGTACAAATCGTTTTGCTGTTAGCATCCTTTTGGTGCCTAACTGCCAAGCCATCCGATGGAAGCACGAGGGTTGGGATGCTACCATAGTGCCCAAGCCTAAACAGGAGTCGAGATACAGACCTCTCGGTCAGTAAATTTGTGTTCTAACCACTGAGTCATCTCGCCAAAATGACGATGGAAGTGGGCACTGATCCGATGGTGAAGATCCGGTTGAGTAGGCCCACTTCATGTTTGTCGCTTTTTTTCAGGAAACTTACGTACTGTGTGATTCACTTCCATAGTTCCTTTGCTGCTGCAATCACCACATTGTTCTTAGGACGTTAGAATTCTACGATTACTTCAGACAACACTACCCCTTAAGGTTGCTGAAATGCTTTATGGGTAGATTTCCTTCAAGAAAATGTTATTAGGTATCTCAACTATGGAAAACGTGAGGCTGCCTTTGTGTATGTGTTGACATGTATCATAAGCGCCAGGTTCAGCTGAGCCTCTTTGCACAACCAAATTAGCGTACAAATCATTATGTTTCTCGGCCCCGTTACCTGTTCGGTGCTGTGTCTACTAGTTGGCGTTCAATACCAATTACTAGGACAAATTGGTTGATACGAGTATAGATTACTCAGCAAAATACTCAACAGGATCAAAGCAGTATTTATTGACTTCATAACAACAATCCGGACGACATGAAAAATGACCTGGGTTTTATCAAAGGCATGATGTGTTATGCCGCCGAACTCTACTCCTCACTGAATCATATCTTCCACAGGCCTTGGGCTTTTATTACTTCTATCCGGCTAGTTGAATTGTAAGCTTGCTATGGTTTACTAAGAGAATATCGGTCATATATGAGTAATGTGATGGACTGGTACACATCCATGGTGATTTTTGGCTGGTTGTTTTTTTAGAGCTGGGTGTTCAAACGAAGGAAAGTACGAAAGCATAAAAGTAGATTAGAACAACCACTAACCCACCGCTACGCACCACTACGCTCCCCAGTAACGCACTGATGATGTCATCTCGATTGGTGATGAAACATTTGCAATCGATTTGCCCAGCTCAGAGAACAAGTCAACGACCACAATCTGAGCAACGATCGCAAGGTTTTCGTCAAAGCTGCGCCACAACACAACCACTTTAATGAATACTTTTGTATGTGCGCTGCGATGAAGGTAAACTGAAGTGGAATCATTTTCGAAAAAGTATGGCGACAATCGGTAGACATATTGCTGGGCAACGTTTCGCTTTTGACACAAAAGCTTCGTCAGGCCAGGGGACTAGGTTCCGAGGTTGGTCGAGATTTAAGGCGGAAGGAGAACCAATCAGCTGAATTGAGCTAAATCTCAGTTGGGTGTCGGCCGAAAGATTTTTGTTTGTTAGGGTGGCTGAACAGGTGTTGGGTCGATGAGGAAACCTACATGTGTTTGGGTCTAGCCTAGGGTCTAGTTCTTCTGGTTCGGTTCATTAGATGGTCCCTCCTGAGTGTCGTTTGAACCTGCTGTCCGTCTGTGTGAATGAGCTAAGCTAGTTGTGTCAGAGGGTTGCTGTGACCTTTGGTCGGGTTGGAATTTCCACCCTCACACCCGGTTTTTTTAATGATCCTGCGTGGATTGACAACCACACTGTCATATGTCAACTCGACTTATCTAAGTGTAATCAGTTCCTTCATCGTCTGCGTCATGTAGCAGTGGCGATGTTCTCTTTGGTTGATCCTTTGTAGTCTAGTTAAAGGTCTAGTTTGATTTTTCCACTGTTTGTTTCCTTATTTTTCTCACGTCAACCGTGACAATTTTATTATCTCAAAGTTATCCGGAGAAAGGCGCTGTGTTTAGTCATTACTGACAACGTTTAGCATCAGTTTTACAACCTCAAATCAGAGTACTCAAATTTTCACATCCAATTTGTAATGAGGTTTTAGTTGACATTTATTTCATTTTGGTACTTCTCCAAAGTCGGAGTTTACTTCACAGTTCGCAGAAAAATAAGTGCTGTTCCAGCGAAGCTGATCCCTTCTGAGACTTAACTGTCGAGCCCTTCCATTGTGCGGACAGGCTTCTTAGCTCTTTCTTATGCACCTGAGCCTCTTAGGAAATCGCGAAATGGATCATTGTGCAACTGAGTGCAACAGACGTGATTACAACATGTCAGTTGTTTTTTGAGAACAGCGTTGAGATCGAGGACGAATGAATCCGAGGTTGGTCGAACCAACGTCATGTGTTGACGGCTTTTCTCACCCATGTGACCTTTATTATACATGCTACACTCCTTAATGTTACTGTATCAACTGGGTACGTAGCCGTTTCTGTTGTCGCCTAGTACTTAAAAAGTACTTTTGACATTGGGCTTCAACAGTTCTGGTTTCTTTCCGTCATGATCAACAACCTCAAAATTAACAACCCTTCATCAGAACACAGGTTCTATTATTAGTTGCAATATTTGTTCATTTCATCTGAGTCTGAGCTCTTGAACTTCATCGAGTTATCAGGCGTCAGTGATGTGAAGACCAGTGAATGTACAGGAAGCACCGTTTCTGAGCCCCATTCATGGAAAAGCGTTGATGCTATTCCAAGGCGTTTTTACTCATACCCTGTTCTTCTTGATCAGTATTGCATATATACTATTTATAATTTATTTACTAGGCCATGTATGACCCTTGGCACAAAATCAACCGGAAAACGGAAAACATGTTACATCAGTCGCGGGCAAACAGGACCACATGACTTGGCAACAACTATTCGTAGGACTGAAATCACGTGTAATTTGTTCGTAAAATCCAATAATCTATTTCCATACAAGGCACAATTTTTAAAAAAATATTTCTATAAGTTGTGCAATGTTCAAATGGTTCTACATATTAAAGAATAGTACAAAATAAATTTGACAATTTTATGACCAAGTTTTATCGCAGCTTATTGTAACGGGATAGATTTTAAGCAAAACATGGCCATAGTTGAAGGGTAGTTTGCTGTTAGTATTAACGCAACTGACTCACGGGGAAAGTTAACAAAATTCCTTTGGATACATAAAGTATTTTATGGGTTATTCCATATAAATATCGGTTTTACTGTGGCGGTTTGGTGGCCCTTTTAACGTCAATTAGCACTCCGTTCGAATTCAGTATTCCACTTTTTAACAAGGCAACTCATTAAAATCGTTCCTTCATTTTTCTAATTTCAACCAGATTGAGTGGTTCCACCAACGAGTTTTTCTAATGATGACCGCTGTCATCTTGAGTACGTGGAACTTCCGGAACAAACATGTGCTTGCCCAATTGTTCGAAATTTTAAGGAGCCTGCTTATAGAGTGAACAGAAGTGGTAAAAAGAGTTCCTTGTTATCAAGAAATACACTCATTTGCGAATCAGTTTGGTTTTCACGGGGACTCGATTGAATCTCTGGTTTATGATTTCCTCCTTTATGAAAATACACTGCGATATCTCGAATATTGTGCCAGCTGAAGCACGAGGCGGCCTGTGTGCGCACATTCAGTTGTAGAATATCATAAACGAGAGATTCAGTTGAGTCTCTCGTGAAAACCCAATTGATTTGCCAATGAGTGTATTTCTCGACAACAGCGCAATTTGGGTTCAAGTAGAACATAAGGTTGACGGAAACTCGGAGACTGCACCTACCTGATGAGCCCCAAGAAGGGCGAAACCGGTCGTGGGCTGTCGAAGAGCTTTGAGCAACCTTGTGAGTAGTTTCATTTATAAAAAAAGTTCCTTGTTATACTTCATGCACG